TTTTGTCAGGAAATTCCTTCCAATGTCTAACCTGAATTTTCCTTCAATTTCAGATCAGAAGCTTTGCTTCTGATCTGTGAGACACCAGAGGAAAAGTTCACCCCCTTTTCTGTATGATCATCCTTTAGTTACTTTATTCAGTCTTTCTTTTCCAAACTAAACATAGTTACAGTTCCTCATAAGATTGTGTTTACTTTACTATCTTCATTATCCTCATCTGATCTCACTTGAATGGCATTGATTTATTGTAGATACCACAAATCACTTGCCATTCCATTCCATTTTCTCTTTTTTTTAAAGCATTTTCACGCAGACTATGATATCATTATATTTATCTACCCAAAAAATTTATGTGGTCCTTTTCATAGTTTAATTTGAGACCAGACAGTAAAGATGCTTGAAGTAAAAAAGAGGTATGCCCAAATTCACACTTGACAAATTTACTGGGGGAAATAAACTGTGGTGACAGTGTAGTATTAGGTGGTAGAAGGCACTTTGGGCAAATCTTTTCAGATCTGAAGTGTGACACAGACGTAACAGCATCCTTTAAAAACTCCCTTTTATTCCACAGAACATCAATAAAGTAATTTTATTTACTCTCCCATTTACAAATTAGAAAAAAAATTAAGCCTTGCCTGTAAGTATAGGCTTAAATATTTTACAAATGTGTGTAAACTATATAACAGAATACTCTGTATTTTTTTCAAATAAATCTAAAATTATCTTTTTAAAACAGCTGACACATTGTATAAATGGGAAGCACATATTTGTGTGCGTATATACAAACACACACATACAGAGTGATTTATTATGTATTTATCTCTTGCCATCGCTATAGTATGAATACTGTTGATAATTTAGATCCACTCTGGGCAGTTCCTACACCATTAATATTAGCAATATGGGCTTCACTTTAAGGCAATGACTCTATTAAATGTTTTAAAATGTGTGTCATTTATCATTAGCCTCATGATTGTGACATTCATGTTATGGGTAAGGTGGTGTCAGCAGATTTAATAAATCCTTATTGTAAGAATTCAGAAGTCAAACATAAAAACAGCTACAGGCTGAAAGCAACAATGTGGTAACATGTCGCGGGAAGCAACATTTTAAAAATGCATGTTTTTAATTTTCTATCCAAGTGAGAGGCAAAAGAAATAACATAGCTATTAAAAGGGGTTACATTTTCTGCTAGTTCCCATTTAAAAGTATTGAAAATAGCATTTAAAAAGATATTTGCAGAAAAAATATGAATGTTTTATGAATGGCATTTTGAGACTAAGATTTGATGCTACCTAATGATTTCTGGATTATCTGTAGAGTTTGTTTGCTAAACATTTTTTTTAGCCAACTTTACCATGAGGCAAAGTGAGATTGCTTTCATCTTTATGTCGAGTTTTCTATCCATCTACTTATGCAAATATGTATACATACAATATCTAAGTTTAGAACCTGAAATTTAAGGATTTGGAGCATTATTAAAAGGCAAAACAAACAAAAAGTAACCAGATAGGATTGTAAGTTACATTGAACTTACTCTCGGACATAAAATACTGATGAATAATAGAACATTATTTGGATTAATGGATGAACATATTAAAGCTAAACGTGGGGAAATGCATTGCAAGATAGCACTAAACTATAATATCAAATTAAACCTTTATTTCAGCCAAAGACCAGCAAAAAAAGGGATGGATTAAAAAGTATGAATACAACAAATTAAAATTACACCAAAAACTAAAACACATAAAAAGAAAAATCTAAAAACATTTTTAAGGGGGGAAAAAGCATCCCTCATAGTTAATTGTATTAACACAGTTCTTGTCACACTTGACTTGGAGTGCTCTTTTTGTTTTGGGGTGCACTACTGCAACAAATTAAATATTGTGTGTGTGGGGGTGCTGTTTATAGGTCTCCAAGAGTGCATCCCAAGATTCACTGATGCAGGGTATATTGTAGGCTCTGTAGATGATCTGATGCAAATAGCTCAGTTATCATTTGGTTCAAATGGGGGAATCTATATTAATAGAGGTTGGTAATAAACCTCAGTGTGGGTTTCTTGATTGAAGACATTTAACCAAAGTAGAATTGAGAAATAAAAGAAAGAAATATCAAATTTAGATGTAACTTCTGGGACTTTGGCACAAGGGGGAAGGACGTTAGAGACAATTATAGAATCAGTTGTACTCATTCTGGAGCCAGATAGCTAGGTAAATACAGTTGGAGAGTTACTTTCAAGGACAACATTTAGAACAGGGGTGTCAAAGTCAAGGTCCATTGGCCAGATCCGTCCCATGGAATGCTTAGATCTGGCCTGCGGGGCCACCCTGGAAACAGTGAAGGACCTGCCCACAGTGCCTCTGTCAGTGAAACAGAGCTCCATTTTCACTGCCAGAGGCTTGCATGAGGCTGTTGCAGCTGAAAATGGAGCTCATGAGGGCGGTTTTTGCTGGCAGAGCACTTGGGCCACAGGCTCCTTTCTCACAACTGACATCAAGCTGGAAATGCCTACCCTGGCCACCACCATCCCCGGTCAAACACAATACTGATGCGGCCCACAATGAAATTGAGTTTGACACCCCTGAGTTAGAATGTAGTTGTTTAACCTGAAGGCTGTTTGACCCAGGCAGAGATCTGCAAAGTTTGATTTCTGGTCCTTTAAGCAGCAAGTGAAGAGGAATCTCATCTTCAGGGTTTGGACAGGCCAAATTCATATTTATTTATTTATATTCTACTTTTTCTCTAAAGACCTCAGTTGTATTAAAAAAAAAATCAGGGAACTACTAAATTCTACTTCCACTAAATAGCTACCATGTCAAAGCAAGGAAAACTGATGTATCATTTTTATGCAGCATTTTACAGATAAATATGTAGAAAAGAAAGAATATCTGTTATGTCCTGGTGAGTAAGAAAATACATAAAAGCAAATATTTTTCTATTATGGCATTGGATTGTTTTTTTAGATAAGTCATAATAAATCCATTTATTTCAGGGGTCTACTCTAAATAGGCTACATCTCATTTACACTATACTTGCGTATTTAAATAGAATTGAAATTATTAATTTTACTATGATAAATCGCTCTTTTTTCTCAATTTGAAAAGTAATATTTTGCTTTATTATAATGGTTTTATTACACAAGGGGACTACTTTAATTTTCTGCATTAGGCATTTAATTATCTCTGTCCTTCTATAATGCACTGGTCACAGCTAAAATAATTCAATTGTTCTAAACTTTCATTTACACAGAACCATTCACAGCACTGCTGCCTTGTAAATATGGCTATAGAAAAACAAGCTGAAAAAAGAGATGTATCTTACCTTTAGCATAAAGGAGAAATATCATTGCAATAGGTAGAAGCACAAGAAGAAGTAAGAAAACAAGCCTTGAATGCCATGAATATAAAATAAATAAAAGTAAATAAAAAAAGCTTTCACATGTTCTGGATTTTTACAATCTTGCTCTATCATCTTTTTCAAATATTCAACTATGTTAAATTGTCTGAGGAACTCTTTTAAAAAAACTTCCCTCTTGTCTTAAGTGTAGCCAGTTCCCTTTGGCAGTATAATCAGTCAATTCAATCAGAGAAATTCTATATTATAATGGTAATTTTCCCTCACTTTTTTTCCTTTACACTGTCAGTTTCAGCCACCTGCTGAAAGCACTGATGTGGAACAGCTCAGTATTAGTTCTGAAATTAGTACCAGTCCCCAGTTAAATGCCTGGCACTTTCAGCCTAGGCTAGACATTGTTATTGGCATACAAACTCATCAGTTCCAACCAGCCCATTACTGAACTTAGACAAGTCTAAGTCTCCTACCAGGCTATCCCGAGAGCACCTTGCTAGATAAGGCTCCACATGTCAAAACAGTCATTATGAATTGAAGAAACAACCTCAAATGAAGAAAGAGCCATGTTTCACACTAGTTCCTGTTTACATGTGAGATAATTGCTCGCTACTAAGTTGAACGTCTGTAAGAAAGGGGCCTTAAATCATCAAGTTGTTTTCAGAGCATATCTTACAGGATAATATTCTATCTGCCTAAGCAATAATGGCTAATTAGTTTAAGGAGATTTGTCCCCCCCCTTTCTCATTTTCTTCCTGAAACAGTGGAAGCAGTTCTACTGTGTACTCTGTCAGTTAAACTGTGTATCTCTCTGCTATCGCACAAATCCTCCCTTGTCCTGCCTTGCTTAGCTCAGCAGGCCTCCCCTGTGAAAGAGTCAAGCAACAGTGATGAAAGGCATTTGCTATAGACTCCTCACAGGGTCATCAATGGACAACCTGTACAAGATTTGTGCTCTAAATAATATATGAACTAAACACCTTGAGGTAATTGGCTGTGTGAAGCCTCACACTAGGCCAGATAGCTTGTCTGTACAAAGTAAAATAAGATTAAATAATTAATGAAGTGTGTAGACATTTTCTAACCAAACTAATTCTAGATGCTTTTTTAAAGTGCACACTATCTATACGAAGAAATGTTTTTATGATTTTCTGCCAGTGTTACGTGGCCCTTCTGACTTTACCAAAATATAATTATTTCAGTGTAGTCTATTCTTTGTAGTCTTATAGTTATGCAAGCAACATGCATGAGTCCTGCAGAATAACAATGAAAGATCTACTGTAGACATAAAATATATATAAGAAAACAAATCAACAGAAATCTCCCAAGCTTCATTTTTAAGATAAATGCTTAAATATTAATTATTATGGTATTAAAAAATATGAAGTACACAGAGGAGGAAGGGTAAAGTCTGTAAATAGATTGCAATTTATCAGTTTCTCTTTAGCCAAAATACATGAACTAATTTGCTTTTCTGTTTACACTGGATTATTCACACAGCTTTTATAGTATAATATTAGAAAGACAGACAGACAGACAGAGAGAGACAGAGACAGAGAACAGACAATCAGAGTTGGAAGGGATCTTGTAGGTCATCTAGTCCAACCCCCTGCCCAAGCGAGAGACCCTACACTATTTCTGACAGGTGGCAGTCCAATCTCTTCTTGAAAGTCTCAACTGATGGCGCTCCCACAACTTCTGAAGGCAAGGTGTTCCATTGGTTGATTGTTCTCACTGTCAGAACGTTTCTCCTTATTTCCAGGTTAAATATCTCCTTGTTCAGTTTCCATCCATTATTCCCTGTCTGGCCTACAAGTGCTTTAGAAAATAGCTTGACCCCTTCCTCCCTGTGGCAGCCCCTCAAATATTGGAAGACTGCTATCATGTCTTCCCTGGTCCTTCTCTTTACTAAAGTAGCCAAGCCCGGTTCCTGTAGCCATTCTACGTATGTTTTAGTCTCCAGTCCCGTAATCATCCTGGTTGCTCTTCTCTGTACTTTTTCTAGAGTCTCAACATCTTTTTTGTAATGTGGTGAACAGAAATGGATGCAGTACTCAAGGTGTGGTCTTACTAAGGCTTTATAGAGTGGTATTAGTACCTCCCTTGATCTTGACTGTAGCTAATGCAATTTAGGATTGCATTAGCTTTTTTGGCTGCTGCTGCTGCACACTGCTGGCTCATAATTAGCTGGTTGTCCACTAAGACTCCAAGATCCCTCTCACAGTTACTGCTATTGAGCCTGGTTTCACCCAGTCTATACCCACTTGGAAGGTTGAGAGTTCAATCCTAGGTAGTGGCAGATGTTTCTCTTATCAAGGTGTAAAGAAAAAAATATATGTTGTGACTCCATGTGGTGTCAGGAAGGATTGTAAAAAGGGAGCGTTTTTATTACTATATGCAATTGTTATGAAATTGGAACCGCTAAATCATTCAAATACATTACTGATAAATTTTGAGAAATTTATATATGGAAAAAAGCTGAAGTAAGTATTTTCTGAAAAATCATTAAAATCCAATAATAATCTTTTTTTAAAAAATGTGTAGGAAAAAATAGGCAGCTTAATAAAAAATGTAACAATTTAAAAGCTAATGGCTAACAAATAATCATAATAAAAAAATAAAGCTTTACATCAATTGAAGAGGAAGTATAAGTGATACATAATAGTATAAACCAGAGAAATTCCATATTACAGAAGGTCCATATTAAGAATGTTTTAACTGAAAATGAGTAAAACAGATATTCAGTATTTCTGGCCATTGACAGTATGAAAGGAACACTAAAATATCTTATTAAATACCTGAAACACAGCTCTGATAACTAATAACATACTATAATATATCTCGTTTACCAATTTGAACCTTTTGCTGTATATTCTTGGACAATATCATAAATGAAGTTTGCCTTGTGCTTCTTCACTAACAGTTTTCATATTTTTATAGTTAAGTTTTATTTTTGAAGCATTACCTAAATGCTTGTTATTTGTTCTCTTGTCATTCTGTAAGCACGCACATACCCTTATTACTTGTAATCTAACTCAAATGCTTTTTCATGCCCATTTTTAGAATTCAGAGTTTTCTCTCTGCAGCCAGTTCATTCTTATGATTAACTGAGCTGAATTTTTAAATGTAGTACTTACTACATTACACGCTGTGCTATCCATCTATTTTATATGACTAACTGTGAGAACTCCAGTGTTTGTATTACATAAATTTGTTTCCCCCCACCCCCCGATATCCCTTATATCGAATATGAATTCTGTTCTGAAATTTTGAAATTTGTATCATAGGACTTAAAATATAAACTAACAAAGATCTTGTGCCAAATTTATATTCAGTTTTCTCTTTATATTATTTTGTATCTGAATGACAATGAAAACTGCAAGCTTTTCTGAGATGAGCTCCTTGTTCGGAGTGTTATAATTTTTACTTTTCTTCATCAACAATCAAAATAAAATTAGCTAGAAGAGAAGGAAACAGCTTTAACTGAATTAACAAATATCCAAATTCAACCTATTTAAATATATATCAAAATGTCTGGTGAAGAGGTAAAATTCACAAAATTCAGACTCTCACACTTCAGCCCTCAAAAGAAATCTAAAAGCAAGTGAAAGCTACCTCTTTAAAATACACAAATAGCATTTTATGCAGCAGATAATCCAAAGTCTCAGTGACCTTGGCAGTCTTGCAGGTAATCTTTGCATAGATGAATTATTCTTGAACAATTCCTCTAATGTATTAGGCACATGCATATTGTCCTTCAATATTAGGCCTGTGTGTCTCTCTACCAATTGCTAAACAAATATACATATTAAGGACATATCAAGGAAAGAAATTTCATATATTTCTTGCTGTGTACTATCATTTAAATTCCTGGGGGGGAAAAAAACCTCTGAAACTATTATTGTGCAATTATAGCACTTGTTACTTTTTCCCATTGATTAATATTCAGTATTACAAAGTACCCATTGTGATTCTTTGGGGACATGCTATTAAAAAAACAATCAAAACTAGGTATAAACATCTTTTTTCTCCCTTCCTTGAAACATGATGGAATTAGATCTGTGCTGATTTTCAAGCCATTCAGTAAACTAAACTACTAGGTCATGTATGACTTGCAGCCAAGTATATATAGGCAATGCCAATAAGATACTAGAAAAAGCTTTATCTAATTAAGTTTAAGTTTGTGCAAGTGTGCCACAAGACAAAAATGAAAACTTCACAAGAATATAATAACTTTAGAAATGCTGTTTTCCTCTCAATGGTTCAAAGCAGCATGAGGGATTATATAAGCGATCAGTACAAGTAAGTAGAAGATAGCCTTCAGATCACGAAAGTTTAAATGTTAATTATGATTTTAGGCTGCTTTGGGCTTACTGTATTCCAAAGAAGAAGAAAGTTTAGAAAGCTAAGATGAAATTCTTATTTGAGCCTATTACCTTATTTTAGTATTTCTTTATAATTTACTCCTTAATTCTTCTTTCTAAAATATCCATTTCAGCACTATTCCATTGGTGATCCTTTACAATGTTTAATCTCCCTACCGAGTAGTACTGGCAGCATTATATAGGTCTCAGAGTAGCCCTGAAAGGATCCATTAATTTTGAAACATCAGATTTTTGTGCTAATCCCTGATTAAATGAAATAATGTCACAGTCTACATATTGTGCAATTCTTTGGCCCACATTATTATGCAACAAACAGTACTCAACGAATAGTACTTAACAGTATAACATATACGTGGAAGGAAATAAGCAGTGGGGTACCACAAGGTTCCATCTTAGACCCAGTACTCTTCAGTATCTTTATAAATGACTTAGATGAGGGAATAGAAGGGTAATTTATTGAATTTGCAGATGACACTAAGCAGGCAGGAATAGCCAACACCCCATAAGACAAGCTCAGGATCCAAAAAGATCTTGACAGACTTGAACAATGGGCCCTATCCGCAACATGAAATTTAATGTGGGGAACAGCAAGGTTTTACACCTAGGCAGGAAAAATCAAAGTTATAAGTACAGGTTAGACGAAACCTGGCTCAAACACAGTAACTGTGAGAGGAATGTTGGCGTTCTAGTGATCACTTAAACATGAGCCAGCAGTGTGCACCAGCACCCAAAATAGCTAATACTGTCAGCTTTGGAATTGTTATTAAAAGCTGCCACATAGCTGTGGAGAAAAGGGAAGGGGCTGATATTATTTGAGTAGCTCTCAGTAGACAAAATAAATTCTTTAGTAATTCAAGGTCAATGCGAATGGTGCAGAGGGAATTGGAATTGAAGGGGGATTGGTTCACATGATGTATGATGGGGGACAAAGGGGAGGGGTTGTAGGTTGGGTCATTGTGGGACATCTGGGGGAAAACCTAGTTTCGGAATTCCACAGATGTGTCAAGTTTCTATTTTAATAAAAGTACTTTGAGATTATGTTCGTCTTGGAGTTACTGGCTGGAATGGATAATCTTTGGAACGCTGATACTATCCCAAAACTAAGTTTCAGAATACAATCCTTAGTTATATAAATAGAGGCATAGAATCAAAATCACATGAAGTATTGTACTGCTTTATAAATACTTAAGTCCACACCTGGAATACTGCATCCAGTTTGGGTCATCATAATAACAAAAAAGAATGCTGAGACTTTGGAAAAAGTGCAAAGAAGAATAATTAAGATTAAAGGCCTGGAGACAAAAATGATTAGAGGAATTAGATATGGCCAGTCTATAGAAAAGGACTATGGGTGGCATATCAGTATTCCAGTATTTGAGGAGCCACTACAAAGAAGAGGCAGTCAACTTATTTTCCAAAGCACCAAAAGGTAAGACAAGGAACAATAGCTGGAAACTAATCAAGGAGAGAAGCAACTTAGAATTAAGGAGAAACTTGCTAACAGTGGGAACAATTAACCAGAGGAACAGCTTGCTTTTAGAAGTTAGTGAGAACAATTAACTCGTGGAACAGCTTGCTTTCAGAAGTCATGGGTAGTTCCTCACTGGAGATTTTTAAGAAAACACTGCTCTGAAATGCCATAGGGTCTACTGCTTGAGCAGGGGTTGGACTAGAAGACCTCCAAAGTCCCTTCCAGCTCTATTCTAATTGAAATTACTATCACCTATGCCAGAGCCTTGCCTCACCATGAATTTTATTTAAATCTGAGTTGTGAAACAGCACAACTATAGTCTTCATTGATCTGAGAGCTGATACATGTTTGTTTTATTAACAGAAACATGGAATAAATAACTGTTTAGTTTCTTCAAATTGTTTAATATCTTGTATATACCAACACAGAACAAATCAAGCGTATTTTCAAAGGAAATTGCAACAACACATGGTAACAGACATTGCTATTCAATGTCAGCTTTCCAAATGCAATTTAATATGCTTTGGCAAAATTCTCTTTTTAGTAGTTCTACATTTTTCACAATAAAATATATTGCACCTATCAGGTGTCAGAGGTCTGTACAATGGATGGTCAGAGTTTCATGTCATTAATGAACAACCCAAGACCAGCAGGTGGTTTGATATGTATACATTATGCAGACTCTTCTTTCTGAAATACACTTCAGACAGTATTTTTCATCAGATTCATGGATCACATAAGCAAGAGACAGAATTTGCAAATTATTCTCTCAAGAAATAGATAAATGAATTCTGTATTTATGCTACTGAAAGGAAAATTGCATTCATGATAGAGCAATGCTAGAGAAACAGGGTATATATGTGTTTGAAAAATTGGATAGCCTTGTCTGTGACTGTTCACACAGTGTAAGAATTTCTTTATTCAAGGACAAGTTATTTCACCTTCCTATCTGTCCCATGGCTTTTTTTGAATGTCTAAGACAGGTGGCCTGTTGGAAACCTAAAACCCTATGGGTACAAAATATGATTAAAATATGACATTGGTCTCTATAATAAGTAATGCTTAGTTTAGAATTGGAAACAAACTCATATAAATAAATAAAGCCAATTTAAACTCTATATAACCTAACATTTTAAATTCAAGTTTAGGATATGCTATACCAAAATACTGCTGGGTCATTCCTTTGGAGAGATGTTTATGAATGTGTCTGCATGCCTAATGTTAGCAAATACACACATATATTACACAGTTGTCTACTGTATTTCAGATGAAGCTTATTAAATGTAATTTAAATCAATGTTATTCTTCGCTATAAAACAAAAGACTGAAACAGTTAACTACCTACTTGTAAAAAGTTGTTATACTTAATATTATTAATACATTGTAATAAAAGCTAATGACTTTCAGGATTTGTCATCTTCTGCTGGTAAGAAATAAGATCTCTCTGGCAAATTGAAAGAAAAAAAGGACAAGTACAAAAAATGGAAAGAAGGACATACAACTAAGGCAGAATATCAGCAGATAGCCAGAATCTACAAAGACGAAGTCAGGATAGCAAAGGCTCAGAACGAACAAAGACTTGCAACAAAAGTCAAAGATAATAAAAAAAACATATAAATAACAAGAAAAAAATCAAGGAAACAGTCGGTCCACTAAAGAGAGAAGATGGCAAGGAAGTAACAGGCAACAGAGAGAAGATCACCGAAGACTAGGCATGCACGCCCCCAACTACCTCAATTCAAACTACAACTGGCCTTAAATGCAAGCTACTCAATGCAAGAAGCCTTGTAAATAAAATACCTGAATTTCTCCTCTTACCAAATACGGCTAAATTCGACATCATATTTGTCTGTGAAACATGGCTCAATACATCTCTCCCTGACTCCATTATCTCAGTAAGAGACTATCATGTTTACTGATCCGATCGTGAAATCCGTAGAGGAGATGGTGTTGCTACCCTGTTTCTCCAACAATACGGCCTCCCCCAATAGGAAGTCCCAGCATGTTTTATAGGCATGAAATGAAATTAAGCCCCTCCCCCCAAATTAAGGCCTATATTAAAACATGCAAAATGGGGGGGGAATGGTGGGGGGGCTTGCCGTTAGGAAGTACTTTTGTTGCACACCTGGATATGGTGCTGCCTGCGTTGACCCCGATACGAAGTGCCCCACCAATGCTGAGGTCAACATCCAAGCTGTCGCCGCACGCCCGCCCGAAGATGAAGGGGGGGGGGAATTAAGTCACCCCCGAAAAGACGATCTAGCCATTTTTTCGGTCTCAAAAAAAAATAAGACCCGGCCTTATTATATGAGAAACACGGTATCTTCTATAAAAAGTCCTTACATCTAACAAACATCCAAGTTACCCAAGAGCTTGCTCTTCCTGAGACCATTATCTGTGAACTGACCTTAAATATCACATTTCAGTTCTTACTATGTTACAGAGCCCCTGATTATGACATTGAACATGTAAACAAGCTAAATACACTACTAACATGGGCAGCATCCTGCCCACATGCTTTTACCTTTCTTGGTGATTTCAATCTACCTCATATCAACTGGACCCTAAACGAATGTACAACTGAACCCATACATGCAACCTTCTACAATGCTGTAACAAATCTGGGACTGGAACAACTAGTAACCAACAACACTAGACTAAACAACTGCCTCGATCTCATCTTCTGCAATAGTTTGAATTTAATTTACGGAATACAAACTAAAGAACCCTTTTCCAACAGTGACCACAACATGATTGACATTTGTCTCAACATACGTCCACACAAAAATCATCACAACGACAAAATCTCCAATTATAACTTCAAAAAAGGCAGCTATGATCTTTTAATCAACAATCTCTCTTCCCTTGATTGGCAATTTCTATTCACTGGATGCAATACTGTGGAAGACCATTACAACATATTCTTACTAGAAATCAAAAGAGCCATCAAACTATATGTACCAATAACAATTCCCAAAACCAGGAAAAACAGATTACCCACAACAATAAGGAAGCTTCAATCCAAAAAGAGATCACTTTGGCGAAAAAACAAATCTGGTCACATTGCCAACTTCAAAAGCCGATACAAAAATCTACGCCACCAAATAAAAACTGAATGCACTAATTATTACATTAAATAAGAGGAAAACCTTCTACGCACCAAATTCCACCCATGCTTTCTACATTTTTGTAAACAACAAAGACTCAAGGTCCATCCCACCCCTGAAAGGACCTAATGACAAAGACTGCAATGCCGACACCATCAAAGCAAACCTCTTTAACACATTTTTTGGCTCAGTATTTGTAAACAGCAATGGATCAAGCCTAGTACTTCCTAGTCGAACCACAGACAACTACAATGATCTAATACATAGCGATTTTACAGAAGACATTGTTGAAAAAGCACTACGCAATCTAAAACCATCCCTATCTATTGGACCGGACAGAATATGTGCATATTTCTTAAAAAAGCTATCCACTGCCATAGCAGAAACTCTAAGCATAATCTTTGAAAAATCTTTCAGGACCAGCTCCTTGCCAAAACTATGGTCACAAGCCACAGTCATCCCCATCTTCAAAAAGGGAGACCCCAGCCTAGTTGAAAATTACAGACCAATCTCCTTATGCTGCATCACCTATAAACTCATGGAATCAATTATTAACCAATCCATTATCCTCCATTTAGAGACAAACAACCTACTCTCTAATAAACAATTTGGTTTCAGAAAAAAACTATCCTGTAATCTGCAACTCTTACACTGCAAAAACATATGGACTACACAACTCAATCAGGGCAAAGCAACAGACACAATCTACACACACTTCTGTAAAGCCTTTGATTCAGTGGTACACGACAAACTACTCCTAAAACTAAAATCTTATGCTATCTCTGGACACCTACATAACTGGATAGAAGGATTCCTGTCAAACAGACAAAAAATGGTCAAAATTGGGAGCGTCCTATCAAATTCTGTACCTGTCAACAGTGGTGTCCCCCAAGGCAGTGTTTTAGGACCAACTCTCTTCATACTCTACATAAATGACCTTTGTGATCATATTAAGAGCAGCTGTGTTCTCTTCGCTGATAATGTAAAACTACTCAACACCACAGACAATATTACTACCCTCAAAAAAGCCCTTGACTATGTATCAGAATGGTCAATCAAATGGCAACTTCAAATCTCAACAAATACATGCTCTGTCTTATATATTGGCAGAAAAAAAATCCGAAAATAAAATACAAGCTAAATAGTCAAGACCTTGTTGAGGATCCAAACTTTGTCAAGGACCTTGGAGTACTCATCTCAAATGATCTAAGTGCTAGAGCCCACTGTAACTAAAAAGCCAAAAAGGCATTAAGAGTTGTTAACCTAATCCTATGTAGCTTCTTCTCTAGTAATATCACACTACTAACTAGAGCATACAAAACATTTGCTAGACCTATACTTGAATACAGCTCATCAGTCTGGAATCCATATCATGTATCTGATATTAACACAATTGAAAAAGTCCAGAAATATTTCACAAGGAGAGTTCTCCGCTCCTCTACTCATTGCAGAATATCTTATGCAACCAGACTTGAAACTCTAGACATAGAAAACCTAGAACTACGCCGTCTCCGGTCCAATCTAAATATAGTATATAAAATAGTACATTGCAAATATAGTATATAAAATAATACATATAGTACATTGCAATGTCCTACCTGCAAAAGAATACACTTTAATCATAACAGTA